TTGTTGAGATATTGTTTAAAATCTAATACTGCTTCTTGATTCTAAATTCGTTCTACGAGTTTCAATTCCGTCCAAACGCATTGAAACGCCATTAGATTTTCTTCGTCCTACGGATAAACGTAGAAAAAGGGGATTCACTAGGAGCGCTTCTTTTGTTTTGAGAACAATGAGCGTAAATATTCATACAATGCGCTCTAACAGGATTTATGTTGTAGCTAATGAACTAACGCATCGGAACAAACCTATTATTGATTTGTGCACGGTGAAATCATTGATATTATTGATCTTTTCTGATCGATAGAACGGAAATGGACGATTATGACGAAGTAACGCTCTACCCTACCTATATATTGGGAAGTCCTTCACCTGTTCCATTCAGTTCATCTCTCTTAGCGTTTCAAGTTATAAGGCATGTTATTTTTTGACCATGGATAATGACTTTAAGTGTTGTAAACCTCTACCTAAATCAAAGATATGTTGTTCATAAACGAGAAACTTGTCGAATGGAGTTACAGAAAAATTAAAATTTTTGGTTGTAAAATACCTCTGGATAATTCTTTAAAAACTTGTAGTAGATGCCGTCTTCAAGTTTATCGTTTGCCATAAAAAAAAACGCCTTCGTATGACGGAATGCAGCAAGATGTGTAACAACCTTCTACCAGTGATGTACACTCAATAGCACCCGTAGATATCGAGAGTGAATCCATTGTGAATATCATACCATCGGCTACGTCTCTGGCTTTATCGACTTCAGCAGATTCTGTTGTCAATAGAATCAGTTTGTCCCATACTATTGAAACATTCAACCAATGCAATAATGGATGGGGTTAAGCAACACACATTCAACCTTTCGGAAGATGATGACCAAGGAATCCTCATCGCCAAGGCTAAGGATTATGACGAATTGATGAGCCAACTGAAGGAAAAAATCGCAGATCCAGAATGCACTCGAGAAGAAAATATAAGTAGGGGAAATGGCTCTAATGTTGGCCTATGGATATAAAATGAGGCCCATCGCTAAAAATCTGCTATTTATTAATTTTATCAATATGAACGCATCATTGAGGTGGTGCTAATGTCTGTTTTTGGTCGCTATTGAAAATTTAGTCGATTGCTGAATTTATGTATGGGCCCAAATTAGGGACACTTAGGCCGACATTACCTTCATTTCCCCTACTACCCAAATCTTGATCTGTACTAAGAATCATGGATGAATTTGGTGTCAACAGATATACTGCAGCACAGGTAAGATTTATACAATAGAATGAATTATAAAAAAAAACATCTCGTTGCTGGACATCACGACTAACATTACTATATTACTATTATTATTAATTAGCATTAAGTTGTGAACGACTGGACTTAGGAAAAAATTTAGTTATTATGTGCAATTTTATTTAATGTTACTGAAAACTATGCCATTTCATAAACATATAACATATAACACATAAACATATATATCTACAAATTTTATAACATTTCTTAACTTTTTTTTGGTTTAAAAAATATAACGATTGCAGAGAGGATGTTTTGAGATAATCATCGTTTGACGTTTTTTTAATATTAATTTACTAAGTTTTTTTTTTACTTTACTGTGTATTTTTTCCTTAAAGATTATTTAACTACCTACAACTTCTTTTCAGATGTCATTTTGATCAGATCAATTGTTTTCATTTTATGATTTTTTGATAAAATATAATCAATTTTTTTTTATACCATTTTTAAAAGTTACTGCGTAGAAGAAAATCATATTTAAATGAAAAATGCAATCATTGATAGCAGCGAACATATGAGCAATATTTCATTTAAATAGAAAGGGGTCGAGACAAAATTGACATATTTTTTAGCGATTTGGGCTGGAAATACTCTACTACACACTAAGATTATTTCACAGATTTCTGTGAAATTTTACCAAAACCTCAATAGCTGAATGTTCGGTAAACAGTTTGGTGATTTTTCACAGTTTTCCTGTAATTTTTTACAGAATACCTGTGAAACATTGCAGGAAAATTGTGATTAATCACCGAACTGTTTACCAAACGTTCTGCTGTTGAGATTTTGGTAAATTGTCACAGAAATCTGTATTTTTTTTGTCTCTTTCCACCATTTTCACTGTTGTTTGACAATGATGATGACGTCAACATGTTGCATCGTTCAAGAGTGTGAGGCTGGAAAGTGTTGGGGAACATAATTAAGTAGGCAATGAAATTTATGTCGTTTTCGTTTTTGCGGTGTAGCACCGGTGTAGTGTAAGCAGAAATAAGCGCGAGTCTTTGACAGCTCAACATCATTTCAGGGGAAACATGTCAGAAGGGTATAACTCGAATCGTAAACATCGTAAACGTCGATTTCTCTTGAATGACAACACACCCACGGAATCTGACTAAACCAGCTTATAGAACAAACATCTCTCTGTCAGATAATTAAGTTAGTTTGAGTGGGTGTGTTGTCGTTCGTAAGAAACCGACGATCCAAGTCATTGTTTACGTTTCGAGTTAAACCCTTCTGACATGTTTCTCCTCATTTGTTTGTAAACAAAGGTGCATCCTATATCTACACCTTAAATTATTTCGGTGTACGGCAGTGTAGCACCGGTGTAGCTACACCGCAAAAACGAAAACGACATTAACATTGCATTTTTTAAATGTGTTTGTGTAGTGTTTTGAGAAGGTGTGCGTAGGGGATGCAGAACAAAATGAAAGTGTGCCTGAATTGCAACGGGCAGTTTTTTTTTTTTCATTATAATAATGTAAAAATCTAGACTCATGTGAGCTGTATGACATGGTAAGTGTTTTATGATGTTGTTTGTGGTATTTCCAACTTTCAGTGAGAGTCGGAATCGTTGCAAAATGGGGTCATTACAGTAGAGATTCTCAAATACACAGATACTCGCAAAAATTGAGCTTGTGTGTAGTGGAATTTTCTAACCTGACTTCCACCTTAAGGCTCTGATTCGGTTGTTTGCTGGCGCGGTTTAACGGGAAATCATCCCAGACTTAAAATTGCACACGATACTGTGGCCAGAGCTGTATTTTTAAACAAATCGTAGTTTGGTTGTTGATATGGTATTATTGGTCTTCATAAGATTCCACCGTAACGGCGCCGGTGGTGTAGTGGTAAGCGTGATTACCTCTCACCCCAGCAGGCTTGGGTTCAATCCCAGTCAGCGTCGCCGGAATTCTGAGGCATAACATCTCTGATCACGCCTTCCTTCGGATGGGAAGTAAAGCCGTTCGTCCCCAGTTCATGAGTTGATGGGTCGATAGGTAGGGTCCAGGTGTGGGAGCTGCCTTCCTGGCACGTCGGTAGCATTGGTGCTCAGCACGGAAAACAAGATCGACGGAAAAAACAAAACCAAAGGAAAAAAAAAAAAAAAAGATTCCACCGCAGTTGACGGTTGACAGTGTCACTTCTAAATGATCCAACCTTTAGCTCCATTAGCAAAATCTATAAACTAGCACATACATAAACGACACTTGAAAAGCTGCTGTTCATAGCGAATCGCTTCACTTCCACATTGCTTGCAGTTCGTCAATAGCACACTGCAATGCACTACGGAATTGAGGCTATTCCTTGAATAGATTTGCGAAATTTATTTGTCTACAAAAAGAGATTGCAAATTGGTTAATTCAGCAATAATCACCCATTCTTACGTATTTAAATAGTGTAAAACATTAGGCGTAACATTTGAAAGCAACACAAAAGCTTTTGTAAACAAAAGTTGTAAGGCATTTATACGTGAAGTGCGCCCACGCAAACCAATACCACTATCGGAAAGGGGGAAATTTCTCCTACCCGATGATGTTGTTGGTTTGCGTAGGCGTAGGTTGGCTCACATGTAAAGTGCATTACAACTTTGGCTTAGAAAAGCATTTGAGCCATTTCCTATATTACCAACTAGGAAACATTTAAATTGAACTTGCAATGCTTTTTCGATGAACAACTTGCGAGTAATCTTTTAACTTTTGTGTGGTTTTGAGTGGTGTTGAGTTCTTGGTACTTCGCATTTCAAGCTTATTGCATATCGCGCATATTAGCTTATTGCGTGCTCTCAACTTAGTGTTATAGATGCACTTCCACAGTTGTTAATTGAGAGCTTTTGATGCCTGTACCATTTTTGCATTGGTATAATTGTGTGGCAAGTCCAATCATACTGCTATGCCCAGGGAAGTCGAGAAATTTTCCAACCTGAAAAAGTCCTAGACCGGACCGGGAATTGAACCCAGCCACCTCCAGCATGTTCTTGCTTTGTAGCTGCGCCTTTACCGACTGAGCTAAGGGAGGCCCCAGTCTGCAAGTAGTAGACGAAATACGCGTATCTGTCAAAAGGTAAGCAATTATAACGGAGTTAAAAAGAAATAAATCAACACACTCAAAAAGCTCTTCGTGAACTTGCGGGTGACTGTTTGTCTGTGCTTTTTTACATAGGATGAATTTGGTTTCCGAAATAGGAGATTTTAAGCTGATGTTTTAACAAAAAATCAGGAATGAAACACATGAATACAATAATTAATTTTCGTTGCGTGAATCTTTATTTTGCATTATTCAATGGAAAACTAACAAAACATACATGAGCATGCTATTAATTGAGAATTTCACGCGTGAGATTTAGTTACAGATTCGCACGCGAGTTTATTCTGTTAGGAGGGCTCAATTAATGGGATTTAAGTTCACTGTCCGTGTGCTACATAGAGAAAGACAATAAAACGCCAAACATTCTATATTAAACTAATCCCTTGGATTCTGGCAGAGTTCTTGGAATGTTGTTTTCATTAAAATACAATTGTTACATGGGAGGTGAGAATTTATTTATCGATATCATTTGTGATTGCATTTGATTAAAATGTGTCATATTAGTAGTTCAATATATTGAAGTATGCATCACATCTAACGTCTACAATATCTACAACACTATTTCGTGAAGTAAACGATGATTTTTATAGCTAATTATAATAACTTTTTTTTTCGAAAAATACTAAGAATTATAGAAGATAACTTACCAGATCGTGGTACGTATAGATTAAGATATAAGCAATCCTCAGATTGGTTGGACAGTAATGGTAGAAGACGTCTCAAATGAGCCAGACGACCACGAGGGTGCTCAAATAGACCGTCATTTCCATACTGTAATTTTGGAAGCGCTTGTGGACAAACGGGTGAAAAATTGTCAGCCAGTTTTGTAGTTTTCCACGTCGATGGTGTTACTGGTGGCATATACCTAAAAATATTGTGAAAACATAAAAATTAATTGCGTCAACTATAGCAGGATTTTTTTTTATGAGCCAATGCGAAATAACCAAGTTGTAAATAAAGATAAGGTACACTGGGAATATTGCAAGAAATTTTTCAATGGCAATCAGAAAAATGTTTCGAGTCAATTTCTGATGGTAGCATGGAAACATTAAGATGGTTAAGCACTTAGAATGTAATGAACTTATTTGTTTTACTAATTTATTTGATCAGAATTAATAAAAATGAACTTTGCACAGCCGAGGTTTCTTGTTCATTATACAATACATTAAATCTTTAAACTACAGTGAAGAAGTACAATAAATAAAACACCTTATCCTCCGCTATCTAATAAGCTTCTTCCGGTGGAACGGGATTCACTTCCAGTGGTTTCCAAATATGATGATCTCGCCAAAGAGGGCTTAGCGCTCCAAACGGACGCATATCGTGGTCTTCACTTATACACTCATCACGAAATATATGTTTACAAGGTCGACAGAAAAAGGATCGACCGAGCAAACTGCAGATGTAGAACAATGAACTCCGCACTATAGCTGCTATCGAGTATACAGACGATTGACGATACAGTTCGTTTATGGTACTTGCACGGAGAGAAAAAGTATGGTAAAAACAACCATATTTCAGGTTGCTTCAGCCAAATTTCCATGTTGACAACTGCACAAACATATTTTTAGTTTACCCTGACAAACTTTGATGTTTGAAATAAACTAAAATGTGAGGTTGTTTATTGTTTCTGTTTCCAACCTAAATTCAACAAACATTTGTTTTAAATAACCATAATGTTGGTTGTTTGATTTTGACAGCTGATAAAACATAGGTAAATTCAAACAAATCATATAGTTTATTCCAAACAAAGTTTAGTTCAATGCCAACTAACTCGTTGGTTGAAATAAACAACGAAATGCTAGAAGTAACCAACGATCTCGTTTGATACAACCAACAAATTTGTTGAAATTAAATGTTTTTTTTTATTACCCCTGCTGTATTTTAGTGTTTTCTTTCATCATTTTTTCACAAATCAATTGTAGCAACTTATATACGACTTATTTCAGTCTTAAACAAGTTGCTGTAACTTATTGTGATAAAAGTGTGCTACTCGGGATATATCTAGACTGCCGATGGAAGCAAAACAGTCGTATTCCATAGATCATGGACAGTTCTGCGTTCACCGCCAGTACAAATCTTGTACAGATTTTGAAGATTTTACTGGGATTTATTTTCAAATTAGACATGATATATTCCTTGGCAAATACGATAATGTTTTTATCTTGTACATTTTTGTTTCTCTTCTAAGCTTTGTAACAGTTACATTTTCATAAATATGTAGTGCCATTCACCAACGTAGTTATAGTTTTTGTATGCATTGCAAAGGTTTGATAATGTTCGTTAAATTTAATAGCCTGAAACTTCTCACATAGGATCAACAATTCACTATCGTTGTCTAGAAAAATTTCTATTATTTCGAAAAAGGTAATTGTTTCCTTTAAGAGGATACTGAATATTGATCCTCTTTTGTATAGCGCTTCACATAAAGAAAAACTTTTTAAAAATTTAACGGATGTTTTATCAATATTGTATGAATGGAAATCAATGATTATTTAGGCGAGTATTCACTAATTTCACTGAAATTTAAACACATTACCGTGTGTAAATGCGACTTGCGATTGAAAACGATTTAGATGCAGCCAGAAAACAAACAATTTCAAGCAAAACAAATCGATGATAAAAAACGAGCGATGACATCAGAAGTGACCAACTAATATGTTGGTTCGTTTCCAAATATCTCTTAGGTTGGTATTTACCCAACCTAAAATTTAGTTTGTTTATACCTAACATCTACGTTGATTCAAACTAAGATAACAGTTAAGAACAATACGTATCTAACAACCTAAGTTTTGGTTTAAACAAATCTGTTTATGTTTGTAAAAAAAATACTATACCCTTAGTTTGAATCAACCAAAATTTATGTTGAGACAATACGATTATATGGGTAGAAACCAGGTGATAAAGTCGTTTATTTCAAATTAACTCACTGGTTTGCAACAAACAAATATTGATTTTGATCAAAGACATCATATCAAGAAGAGCAAATACACAAACCCTTCTTCTGAGGATGTAATCTTTGCTATCAAATTAGTTCGAAGCATTTACATTTGAGCGGCAGATGACGCAAATGTACCTGTCTCATACCGTTCGTATGAGAAAATGGAAGAGTTGCCAGTCTTCTTGATTTGTTGTCTTCGGTTTGATTCAACAAGAATATTAGTTTGAACTTCATCCATATATTTGGTTGTTTCAAACTAGGCTCATTCTTCTCCGTGTGTTTATTAGGGTATGTGCATTAGTTTTCCCCTCTTGTTTTTCAAACAGTTGAATAGAGACACGCATTGACTGAAGCAAGAAGAACCAAACGAACCGTCAAATTCCGAACCAAACGAGCAAATTAAATAAACATTTACAAAATGAAAATGAAATCCCGTCCTGGCGATTCGCGCAACGGGATTTCTAATGATTTTTATTTAGTTCACTTCAAGTCTAGTGAACTAAACAACCTTAAGGCCTTAGAAAAAGCTAGCCTTATGCTCCATGTCCAAGTGAAGTGGGAACACTTCAGGAAGACTGGAGGAAATTTCCAAAACCTCACTCAGTGCCGTAAGTGCCAGGGATGGGGTCACGGAACTAAAAATTGCTACATGCCAGCTAAATGCATGAATTGTGGTGATTCCTCTCACGCAAAGGACGACTGTCCTGTGAAGGAAGATCCTAAGAAATTTAAATGTTCAAATTGTGGTGAAAACCACAAATCCAATTTTTGGGAATGTAAGACTCGCAAAGCGATCCTACAATCTCGTTCTAACCGACAGGTAAGAAACGCTCCACGTTTCCGACCAGGTACAAATTCCTCTGCTGTTAACAACGGTCAGCGAGGAACAAATTCTACATTCGTACCCGTAGGTACAAATATCACCCCTGCTTCAAATGTTTCATCTGTACCTACTCCCCTCGCTGCTAACAATGTTCAGCGAGTTAATGGAGCTACCTATGCTGCTATTGCAGCGGGTAGAAATCAAAATACTAACCAACGTTCTAACGGAAATTTTGACAATTTTGACTTAGGAAGCATTACTGCCCCTAAAATGGAATTTTTACAGAATTCATTAATTGACATGATTTCTGATATGCTTAAATCTAACTCCATGTTTGATGCTATTCAAACTGGAGTAAAATTTGCTAATAATATTGTCATGACTTTAAAATTCAGTAATGGATTTTAAAGCATTAAACATTTTAAATTGGAATGCTCGATCTCTTAAAGATAATGAAGACGAGCTATTTAATTTTTTGAGAGTTCATAACGTGCATATTGCCGTTATAACTGAAACGTTCCTTAAACCTGACCATAAGGTTAAGAAGGACGCAAATTACTTGATTTATAGAAATGATCGTCTTGATGGACCCTGTGGTGGCGTTGCCATCATTATTCATAGACGAATCAAACACAAAATACTTTCTTCATTTGAAACCAAAGTTTTTGAAACTTTGGGAGTTTCTGTTGAAACAAAATTTGGACAACTTACGTTTATAGCTGCCTATTTGCCATTCCAATGCGTAGGCCAGCAAAAGAATTTTCTCAAGGGTGACCTCCAGAAACTTACCCGTCATAGGTCTAAATTCTTCATTATTGGTGATTTTAATGCAAAACACCGCTCATGGAATAATGCTCAAAGCAATTCCAATGGTAATATTCTGTTTGATGATTGTTCTGCAGGTTATTACACTATTCAATATCCAAACAGCCCAACATGCTTTTCTTCTGCAAGAAATCCCTCAACTATTGATTTGGTCTTAACTGATTCATGTCATCTTTGTAGCCAATTGGTTACCCATGCTGACTTCGGTTCTGATCACCTTCCAGTAACTTTTGAAATATCCCAAGAAATAATTTCTAATCCCAACAGCTCTACTTTCAATTACCATAGGGCTGATTGGGAGCAATATCGAACATTTATGGAATATAACTTCGATCCAAACATTCCTTTGCAAACCAAAGATGAAATTAATTATGCTCTTGAATCTCTGACTACTTCTATAGTTGAAGCAAGAGCTGCCTCAGTACCAAAATGCGAGGTTAAATTCGATTCAATTATAATAGACGATGATCTTCAGCTCTTGATCCGTCTTAAAAATGTCCGTAGGAGACAATTTCAAAGAACACGCGATCCTGCCATGAAGGTTATCTGGCGGGATTTGCAAAAACAAATTAAAAAGCGATTCTCTGCCCTGAGGAACAAAACTTTTGAAAATAATATTTCTAAATTAGACCCGAGTTCCAAACCCTTTTGGAAACTCACAAAAATTTTGAAAAAACCTCAAAAGCCAATTCCAGCGCTAAAAGAAGGTGGTAAAATTTTGATCACAAATTTGGAAAAAGCTCAGAAACTTGCTAAGCAATTCGAGAGTTCCCATAATTTCAGTTTGGGTCTTACTAGTCCTATTGAGAATCAGGTTGCTCGGGATTTTCGGAATATTTTCTCTCGGGAGAATATTTTTGATGATTCCTGGGGGACTGATTTGGACGAAGTAAGGTCTATAACTAAAAAATTTCAAAATATGAAAGCTCCAGGTGATGATGGAATTTTCTATATCCTCATCAAAAAACTCCCAGAGAGTACCTTGTCTTTCCTGGTAAAATTATTTAACAGATGTTTCCATTTGGCATACTTTCCTGATAAATGGAAAAATGCAAAAGTTGTTCCAATTTTGAAGCCGGATAAAAATCCAGCTGAAGCTTCTAGCTACCGTCCAATAAGTTTGCTTTCTTCAATAAGTAAACTTTTTGAAAAAATAATTTTGAATAGAATGATGCTTCACATCAATACGAACTCAATTTTTGCAGATGAGCAGTTTGGATTTCGCCATGGGCATTCAACTACTCATCAACTCTTGAGAGTTACCAATTTAATTCGTTCAAACAAATCTGAAGGCCACTCAACTGGAGTTGCTCTTCTAGACATAGAAAAAGCATTCGATAGTGTTTGGCATGAAGGTTTGATTGCTAAATTGAAAAAGTTTAATTTTCCACTTTACATTATGAAATTAGTTCAAAATTATTTAACTGACAGAACTCTGCAGGTAAATTATCAAAATTCCAAATCTAATCGACTACCTGTTAGAGCAGGAGTTCCTCAGGGTAGCATTCTTGGGCCTATATTGTATAACATTTTCACTTCGGACCTCCCTGATTTGCCTCAGGGTTGCCACAAATCTTTGTTCGCTGATGACACAGGCATTTCCGCTAAAGGAAGAAGTCTTCGTGTTATTTGCAGCAGACTTCAGAAAAGTTTAGATATTTTCTCTTCTTATTTACAAAAATGGAAGATTTCTCCCAACGCTTCCAAAACTCAACTTATAATATTTCCACATAAGCCCAGGGCTTCCTTTTTGAAACCTAGTAGTAGTCACATAGTCACTATGAACGGAGTTCCAATTTCCTGGTCAAACCAAGTGAAATATCTTGGATTAATACTTGACCATAAATTAACTTTTAAAGATCACATTGAGGGCATTCAAGCCAAATGTAACAAATATATAAAATGTTTGTATCCTCTTATTAACAGGAAATCCAAACTTTGCCTGACGAATAAACTTCTAATATTTAAACAAGTTTTTAGACCGGCCATGCTTTACGCTGTGCCAATATGGTCTAGTTGTTGCACTACCAAGAAAAAAGCACTTCAAAGGATTCAGAACAAAATTCTGAAGATGATTTTGAAGTTGCCTCCCTGGTACAGTACTACCGAAGTACATAGAATTTCGAATGTTGAGACTTTAGCACAAATGTCCAACAAAATAATTAATAATTTCCGGCAAAAATCGTTACAATCCTCAATTGCAACGATTAATTCCCTTTATACTTAGATAAGATTTAGTTTTAGTTATTTAGTTTTAAGCTATCAATTGTTATACTGACATGCAGGTTTAAAAAACCTGTTTAAAATACTGAATTGCCAAGACAGGAACAATGTAAAAACACTTAGATATATATCATAACAATTAAGGCTGGTAAGTTACTGTAGTAACTGGAGCACCTAGGTTAAAAATGAAATGTAATTTATTTTGAATTTGGAACAAATAAAGAGTTAAAAAAAAAAAAAAAAAAAAATAAACATTTACTTTCACCAGTTCACCAATTCACCAGAAAGGAGCATTGTTCTCAATGATGAAAAAAGTCGACAGTGAGCATGCATAAGGGCGTAAACGCGATGATCGATTCTCTTCGTCGGTTTTCTATTTTGTTAATAACATGCTAGATTTAACGTTTGTCTGTGCGTTTGCTGTTGCTTTTGATAGCCAATACAACATGTTACAACTCTGCATTGAACAAATTCTAGAAAAATGTTTCGCTTAGCTGTAGCAATGCAAAGAGAAAATCGATGAAGAGAATCGATCATCGCGTATACGCCCTTATGCATGCTCACTGTCGAAGTGTTTAATTATTTTCACGAAATATTTGATAGGTGAAATGAATGTAATGTCGGCTTAAATGCCCCTAATTTGGGCCCATATATAAATTCAGCAATCGACGAAGGCTGTAAACCATTTGCCGAGTTAAATTTATCTCGTGGTTAAAAGTGACATTTCTAAAGTTATTTTCTATGTTCGAAAATCCCCGTGCTGTCGATCGACCGGTTTTCACACCACGGTTGTCAAAATTTAACTTCTTGACCGTCAGAATTAACCATGCTCGGATAGCAGGGTTAATCAATAACTTTCCATCTGTCAAATTTTAACCAAAAGTTCAAAAATTCGCGAAAAATTAACCAAAAATTTAAAAAAACAGAGACCAGAAATATTCCTTAGTACCGTCCCAATGACGTCTTCATCTAGATAAAATTGACAAATAGCAGATTTTTAACCATGGGCCCAATCTTAGATCCATAGGCAAACATAAGAGCCATTTTTCCTATCTGTTATTTATTTATGTATTGTTCATTCAATTAAATACAACATTTGCTAGTGATAAAAACAATTACGAAACTGAACGATTGCACTGCAAGCAAAACAGTAAAATATGACAAATATTATACTGTCATGGAGCGACTGTCATCTCTCGTCTTCGCTTTATTTTTTGCAACATGTTGCCGCGCACTTCATTTTTATTCAGTTCCGATCGAACGTTAAAATTTTCTCAACATCATTGCGATTTGCGGCACTGTAAGGAAGTCATTTGAAGCCACTCGAAGAAACATGGTTGCCAGTGACATTGATAAATCCCTCAAAAACCATGCTGCTGCTTTGATAGAAATTTTCTTTGCGCGTCTAAAACGTCTCTGAGCCTAGGAAGTTTGCACATGTCATTATTAATAAGAGTTTGAGAAATATAACGATTATACGAACGTAAATTTAAAAAAAATGTGCATAAAATAGTTTGTATTAGACTGGCCCACATTTATATGGGGGGAAATTTTTTTTATCATTTTTTTCAACTGGCCAACCCCTAGATTCAAGTTAGTATTATGGAGATATTATTTAATTGTGTGCATTCTGCTCGTATTTTGCAACAAATTACAGGCAGCTTATATAACGTATCAACTAGATTACCACTTAAAATAAAAGCTCATATTTTCCACAGGCCAACATTCAGGCTCGTGTCTTTTGGTGCGATAATCATTAGCTTAATGTTTCAGCTCATGTTGACGTTACACGGGATGGCGCTTTATGTTTAATGTTCATGTAGCAGATTTCTTTGAAATTTTCATATACAAAATGCTCATATACATTCAAAAGCCAATATCTCAATAAAACTAACTGGATTCATGATGCAATCTTCAGCAAAGTTGTTACTCATTAATTGAACTACTAGTTTTGAAAATCTGAATCAAATCGAGAAGAAGGAAACTTTTTTATGATCGATAGAGTGTAGGTGTGTCATTTTTTCATGTATTTTATCCAAATTCCTCATACAAAATTCATACTAAAAGCACCAGCTCGTGTTACATCCGAATGAGCTGAAATTTTCAGAGAGTGGTTTTCTCACTTAATGGCACACGGCCAACCATACCAACTCAGTGACTGAGAATAATTGACTTACAGAATTTTATTTCCATACGAAATTTACTCAGTTTTGGAAAAAGTGCAGTTACTCATAGTTTATGAGTAAATGCCCTTTTTCCAAATCTTAGTAAATTTCGTATGGAAAGAAAATTCTCTGAGTCAATTATTCTCAGTCACTGAGTTGGTATGGTTGGCCGTGCACAAATCTAGGGGTTGGCCCGAGGAAAAATAGAACTTTTATTTTTGTGGGCCAGTCTAGTAAAACATATAATGTGTATATGTAAAACATTTAAAAAAGAGTGTGTGTACCAGTTATTGCTATACGTTCCTATTATGGCGTGTTCCAATTATGACCTATGGGATTCCCATGTCTCATAATTGGAACACACCATAGTTAGAATTTATAGCCATAACTGGTACATCTACCCTATTTATGATATGTTTTACAAATACACAATATTTTATAATTTTAGTTAATTTCAAACAACACATTTTTCTACAGTAAACCAAAAATATTTTTGTGAAGCTTACAAAATCTGACATTTCACTTCATAAGAGGCAAACTCTATGGCTAAATGTCTGCATAAGACAAATAAAATCATAAAAGGATGGGTGTACCATTTATGACTATACGTTCCGATTATGGTGTGTTCAAATTATGGCCTAAACAATAAGCCATATTTAGAGGGTAAAGTGGATTTTGCCACCCGTGCAACTCTACTAAAATTTTGTTTTACATTTATTTGTATAATTATACAAATAGTCGCTTTCTGAGATTTCACACAATAAAGTGATAAGATATTGCAACTTTTCAGAGTTCAGTTGAAAAAGTCGCATTTTGATTGCAGTTTTGTAATATTTTATGTAGTTGTTTTGTGATTTCAGTTTGTAACAAACCCAAAAGCGATCTATTGTGTATATTATTATATGATCTGTGGCAGGGTTGCTTTGATTCACTTACTATAAAAAAAATGTTTTTGGGAATTATAAATTCGATCGATGTTATTATGATATTTTGAACTTGTAAGTTAAAAGAAGAGGGTATGGTTAGACACAAAGTATGTGTTAGACACATAAAACCGGTCAATTTCGCTTTCAGAGTGACACAATCAGCGATTTTATGATTCGTGAGCGTTCACGAGTCGTAAAATTGGTGATTGTGACTATCTGAAAGCGAATTTGACAGGTTTTATGAGTCAAACAATTGCCTTTCAACCTCTTCTTGTATCTAACAACCCAACTAACAATTTTAGCTGCAGCTTAGCCTATACAGCCAAAAATTGGCTTATACAGCTAATTTTTGCCTGTATAAGCTAGTCTGCAGCTAAAATTGTTTGTTGGGAAGTACAAAATATCATTATGACATCAAATAATTCCAAAATTCTTAAAATCATTTTTTTATAGCAAGTGAGTGGAAGCAAGCCTGATCTGTGGTTATTTGAATATAGCCATAAACAATTACCCTAGTCTTCACAAATGAGATGCAGAGGAACTCCACTCACAGAAAACATATCAGGCCCCATGGAAGTGTAATGAAGTTTACAAATTTACGAGGGTTCATACACATACGATGCATAGGCATAGACGTTTTTCTAAATGTTGTTATTATTTTTAAATTTATTAGAAAATGAAAATGAATTACCGTGCGTGATCTATACCAGTACGCCTTAGTGTATTCAAAACAACATATTGCATGAGGTGAACGGATGTCGGTCCCGCACGGTATATGTTTATTGTAGCATACACTTACCGTAAGCTCCCCACTGGAGGTGAGGCATATGGTACTCCAAGAAATGCTTCTACAATGGGATTTGAGTGCATCACGATGCCTCTCAAAGGTCCGTACTTTGTTTTGATAATGTTGGTGCTGTATTTATTATTCTGGTACGACGATGATACTATCGGTATACATAGCGATAGAATAAGCAACATTTGTAGATTTAGAGTCATGTTTTTCCATCTCCTTACCAGAAACAGCATCCATGTCATCGCAAACATTTTGGTTGTCGTTTTGAGAATCCTGCATAAAGTTTCAACTTTACAACAGGAACCATTTTCTGTTTTGTGGTACAAAGGGGTTCTCTCCGTTGTCCGCGTTGTACATATACAGACGAGTAAATTGTCACTAATTCCGACGTTCATTGATAACTTTGTTTTCTTGTGATGCTCACAATTGTAGTGACAAGTCCAAGCTATTTTACAGATGTTATTGCAATTGTTGGCTTTGTAAATCTTAATATCTATCCAATCAATGGTATTGGAGACGTCATAGTTTCGTGAAGAGTCCTTGTAAATATTTATTGTAAATTTCTTACGCATGTAATCAATTCCATCCACAATATATTTGTGCTGCTTATTAACGATTAGCTCATGATGTTGAATTTTATAGTTAGTAGAAAATGGTTTTTCGTACTGTACATATTGTTTTTGACATTTGGTAGTTCTTGAATACATTTCCTGAACTATACAATTCTTGCATCCTTGCACTACTACTTCTGATATTAAAGCTACCTTATTTTTCGGTTCCTGTGATATTTCGTCGTATATTTTGGTGACTGCTGTAAATTCTTCTGGTTTTGTTGCTGTATTAAATACTAATGAGAAGTATTCAGAAGGTTGGAGTTTATTAAAGACAAAACAGCAGAGTTCATTGTTTCTCGATGAGTGTAACTTAATAGTTGTATTCACAGATGTGAAGATGGGTGAAATTATCAGCGCTATTCTTTGAAGAAGAATGTAGACTTTGATTAATATATTCTTGAAGCATTGTAGTTGTTCCTTCTCATGAGAATGGTGAGCAACGACGTTAGATGCCTTGTCTTGATGGGTGTAAACCAGATTTACTCTAGAGGTAGCACTACTCACCACGAAGCATAGGAAAAAATGACACATCAATTGTATTGTACTGATAAAACTTTCTTTGCCTGAAACAATAAACAGTGGCTCTGAGCTGAGCTGTATTAGGTGCTGGTGGCTCGGATGAATGGAGCATGAAGTAAAATGAACTTCATCTTGACCGACGTGGTATGGCGTTGGAATTTTCTGCATAATATCGGAACTCTTTTCATACTGGTACGATTGCTTTCGGTGAAGGCACCAGTAATAATGGTCGTACGCGGGAACGAAAATGTTTCTTTGCTTTCTCGGAGACGTTTGGTGTGACCGGGAACTCAGCGTCTGAGTTTCATCTTTTTGTCATCTAGAAAAGAAACTAAAGAAAAGTTAGTAATTTTGTTGTTCATTTATGATTCTCTTAAACAAAAATGTACAATAATAGTAGAAGCTGGATGCTGAATGTCTACGTATTTGCATCGCTTGGCATGGACTATCAATACATTAGAGATGGCTAAAATGAAACAGTTTTGAAGATACAAACTCTATTTCATCATTAATGATTGATGGGATAAATTATATATTTAAAGTGTTTGAGTAATTATTTCAACTAGTGTTGATAAAACGATACATCTCAATTATTCTAATTGTATAAAAGATAGCTTGAATTAATTAGAAGTAAATGAGCGTGACGTCGGTTTTTTGTATCTCTTTTTTTCAAATTTTAATCATTTTACATTTATATTTTAACCTAGGTGCACCAACTACTACAGGAACTTACCAACCTTATTTGTTAGGATATATATCTAAGTGTGTTTACATTGGTTCTTCCTTAGCAATTTAGTATTTCAAAAAGGTTTTCTATACCAGCGCGTCAGTATAACAATGGTCATCTTAAAACTGTAAACTTAAGCTATATCTTAGCTAATTATAAAGGAAATTGATCATTGCAATTGAAGATTGCAAAGATTTTGCCTAAAATTATAAAATATTTGTTGAACATTTGTTGTAAAGTTAATCATTTGAAACTATATGTTTGGTAGTACTGTATCAAGGAGTTGTAACTTTGTTCAGAATCCTCAAAGGAGTGCTTTTTTACTGGTAGTACAACAACTATACCATAATGGCAGCCAAAAGCATGGCCGGTCTATTTTTTTTAAAATATTAGAAGTTTGGAACCCCCCAATAGAGCGGTGGGTGGTGCCGTTCACCGAGTGCAATTTATCAGCTGTGCATCGAGTTGAGTTGATTTTTTGTATGTGATTAAGGTCTACCATAAACTTGTCACCTACAATTCGCTTAATTGGTTCGAAGTCAGGCGAGAAATTGCAGTGGTTGGACGGAACCACCCATCGGGGTATTTGGGAGATTCCTGTATTTGTTACATTTCACTTGGATTTCCTGCACTATTCCAATATATTTCACTTGACGTGACCCCAAAACTCGAACTCCGTTCATAGTGACAATGTGACTACTACTAGGTTTCAAAAAGGAATCTCTGGGCTTATGTTGGAATATTACAGGCTGATTTTTGGAAGCGTTGGAAGAAATCTTCTATTTTGGTAAATAAGAAGAGGAAACATCTAAACTTCTTAGCAGTCTACTGCAAACAACACGAAGACTTCTTTTTTATCGGAAATGCCTGTCTCATCGGGAAACAAAGATTTGTGGGAACCCTGAGGCAAATCAGGGAGGTCAGCAGTGAAAACATTATACAATATCCGCCCAAGAATGCTATCCTGAGGAACTCCAGTTGAGCAGCCTTTAGATTTGATTGTTCGAATTAAATTGGTAACTCTTGAAGTTTTATGCTCATAGCGAAATCCGTACTACTTATCTGCAAAAAATGAGTTCGTATTGACGTGAAGCATCATTCTTTTCAAAATTATCTCTACTAAAAATTTTCTTTTTGAAGAAAGCCAACGGTTGCGGTTACTACTTTTGAATTTTTGCCTTTATCAGAAAAAAATACCAATGTTACCAAAATTTGTACAGGAAGCAAGCAATGTAAATACGGACCGGAAAAGTCGGCATAGACCCAAGCATCTTAAACGGACTAACGATTGGAAACTCGGAACATGAGCAAGTCTCTCAATTTCTTGGGAAGTACCCGCATTCTTTCCGATTTATTGAGGGTCCGCAAGTCCGCTGCAGGAGGTTTGCTGAAAGGGATCGTCGGTACATACGTATAGGGATGGTTATACCATCTACCAGAGCTACGGCAACACACATGAGCTGGGTACAGCTTTCATCGTGATGGGCGAAATGCAGAAGCGCGTGATTGGGTGGTGGCCAATCAATAGCAGAATGTGCAAGTTGAGGATCAAAGGCCGTTTCTTCTTGTCAGCATAATCAACGTGCACAGCCCTCACTAAGCAAGGGACGATGACGATAAAGACGCTTTTTACGTGCAGCTGGAACGGGAATACGACAGCTGCCCAAGCCATGACGTCAAAATCGTCATCGGAGATCTTAGCGCTCAGGTCGGCCAGGAGGAGGAATTCAGACCGGTTATAGGAAAGTTCAGCGCTCACCAGCTAACGAACGTCAGCGGCTTTAGACTCATCGATTTCGCCGCCTCTAAGAACATGACCATACGTAATGCCTACTTCCAGCATAGCCTCCCATATCGGTACACCTGGAGATCACCGTAGCAGACAGAATCGTAAATCGACCACGTTTTGATCGACGGAAGGCACTTCTTGGACATTATCGACGTCAGGACCTATCGTGGCGCAAATATCGATTGGGACCACTACCTTCTAATGGTCATGGTTCACCAAAAACTTTCCGTTGCCAACAACATTCGGTACCGACGCCCGCCACGATACAATCTGGAGCGACTGAAGCTGCCCGAAGTCGCAACTGAGTACGTTCAATGCCTCGACACAGCGTTGCCAGATGAGGGAGAGCTCACCGAAGCCCCTCTTGACGACTGCTGGAGCAACGTGAAAGCAGCCATTAACAGCGCTGCTGAAGGCGCCGTTGGGTTCGTGGAGCGGAATCGACGGAACGATTGGTTCGACGAAGAGTGTCAGACGGTTTTGGACGAGAAGAACGCAGGGCGGGCGGCGATGCTGCAGCAAGGAACCCGTTATAATGTGGAGCAATATAAACAGAAGCGAAGACAGCAAACCCATATTTACCGGGATAAGAAACGCCGCCTGAAAGAGCTGGAGTGCGAAGAAATGGAGCAGCTGTATCGTTCTCAAGAAACACGCAAGTTCTACAGAAACTCAACGCATCCCGCCAAGGCTTTGTGCCGCGAGCCGAAATGTATCGGGATAAGGAAGGGGGTATCTTAACGATGTCCAGTAGAGTGGGTCATCGTTATATGGAAAAACGCAAACTTTACCTCACCAATCGAGAACAACCTTTTTTTGATTTCACTTGGGGTCCCAAACAACTGTGCAAAATTTGGGGATGATTGGTTGTAACTCGGCATTCCGCATTGCGTTTGAAATTTGTATGGAAATTAGTATGGGAATATCAACTTTTTTGCATTTTTATCTCTAGAGAACACAATTTTGCTAAGTAACTAAGTATGTATAAATATAGTTCAGGAAGTACCTAACAACTTTTCTAAAGGAAGTTTGAAGCTATAATGTATCTAAAAAAAGTTATAACTATTCAAATACATGCCAACACTGCCCGTGTACCAATGGGAATCAGATTCCAAACTGAAATATTACGAATTATTCAAAAACAATTGCTCTATCTCATGTGTGTAGTTTGAGGAAGGGGGGGGGGGGGTAATAATATACCCCGCCCCCCTCACTCATATCAATAGAAGTAAAGTCTCAAACTGAAATAACTTCGGAATTTCTTATCTTATCGATTTGGTATGTTCAGGATGAATTCTTCAAACATATTTGTTCAATCTCATAAGTGTAGTTAGAAATCGGTGGGGGGGGGGTATTCTATAAGAAGTTTTAAAACGAAAATTGTTGTAGTGTAAATATTTAATATCCACTTGTCCGTTCATTTGTTAGTGAGGAGATGTTGTTTGAAATATAGGTCCAGCTGCTATATTATTTCTATATAAAGCTTTTATTTGAAATATTGAACTGCCATTCGGGCCATCCGCATATAGAAAACACAGAAGTAGTCGTACATCAAAAACAAAAAATAGTAGAAAACGGAAACCACCAGTTTCGTCTCAGACACAGGAGCAGTCGGATTTCACTCAGGGGATGGAACAGCATCGAAAAGAGTACCTTGAGAAATCGTAGAATATAATAAAATGAAATATAATCATTACCATCCATGACATTTGTGTGAATATATCTGACATTGTATACTGCACCAAAAGAGTAGGGAAGGGAATGGGGGTACTCGCTTTCAAACTGCTCTTATGTGATTGAGCAAATGTTGTTGAATAACCCATTACAATAACTCGAGAGATTGCAAACTCCGAAGGATACAGTAAGCTCCCCCCCCCCCCCCCCCATATCTAACTACGCCTGTTAAATGTAGCACATGCTTTTGAATACATCTGACCATACCAAGTTGACAAGATCAGAAACACCGATTGCAGTTTGAAGCTTTACTTCCATTTATATGAGTTAAGGGGGCGGGGTATAGTTAGCCCCCCTCATCTCTTAATATGCCTGAAATTGAAATTTTTTTTTTTTTAATATTTCCCATGAACATACCAAATCGATAAGATAAGAAACTCCGAAGTTATTTCAGTTTGAAACTTTATTTCTATTGATATGACTCACCCCCCCCCCCCCTCCCCTCCGACTACGCATATAAGATAGATCTATTATTTTTGAATATTTCATCGGAACATTCCAAACCGATAAAATCAACTTCGAAATTATTTCAGTTTGGAGTTTGACTTTCATTTGTACACCGGCAGTGTTGGCAGAAAAAGGGATTTTTGGCATTTAATACGAAACAGTGATCTTTGAACAGCAATAACTTTTGTTAGGGGCATTCTAGAACAATACATCCACTTCCTGGGCTATACTTTAACGTATTTAGATGCGTGATTTGTGCATGCAAAATTGTGGACGATTTGCAATAAAGATGCAAAAAAGTAGGTTTTCCCATACTAATTTCCATACAAATATCAAACGCAATGCGGAAAGCCGGCTTACAACCAATCGTCCCCAAGTTTTGCATAGTTGTTTGGGACCCCAAATGAAACCAAAAAAACATTGTTCAGAAAAAATGATCATGATGACCCATCCTAATGCCCAGTATATAAAAAAAGGCGATAAACTAGAATGTGGGAACTATCGAGCGCCACTATTCTTAACGCGGCCTACAAAGTGCTTTCCCAGATCATATTTCGCTGTTTATCGCCGCTAGCAAGCAGATTTGTGGGAAGTTATCAAGCCGGCTTTTTGGACGGGCGATCGACAATGGATC